ACAAAGGACAACAGGCTCAAATGCCTAGCGTTCTGTGGTGCACATGTGAAAATGAACTTGGAGGCTCTGACGCACCTGAACCCTTGCTTGACGAGAAGCGTCGGCGAAGCTGACGCTATCTCCGAAGACGCCCCGGTCTCTGAGGTCGGCACACCACAAGAATTGGAGTTTTCCGATTTGTTCGACGTGGTCCACCTTGACGAGAAATGGTTCAATGCGGACAAGGACAAGAGGAAAACCTACGTGGTCCCAGATCCTGCGCGTCGTGTGTGCAAGTCCAAGCACTTTGTCCCAAAGGTTATGTTCTTGGCAGGAGTCGCACGTCCAAGGCCCGAGGAAGGCTTCGATGGCATGATCGGTCTTTGGCCATTTGCAACCCAGTCGCCACACTCCGTAACTCACGGAATAAATCTTCAGGAAACATGGTGACGACATTGGTGAATGTTGATGGAGCGACCTACCGGGACTTCGTGCTCCACCAAGTTGTGCCTGAAATCAAGAGTCGATTTCCAAGCAAGACCAAGCGCGTCTTTTTGCAACACGACAATGCAACTCCGCATGCGACAATCGATGACGGAGTCCTGGCTGAGGTGACCACGGATGGTTGGGTCTTTATGGTGCGTCGGCTGCCGCCGAACAGCCCGGACCTCAATGTCCTGGACCTGGGCTTTTTTGCTTCAATCCAAGCCCAACAGTACAAGACTTTCAGCCGGTCTGTCGATGACGTGATCAGCTCGACGTTGTGTGCCTTTGAAGCGCTCAGTGTTGAGACGTTGGGTAACGTCTTCCTAACCTTGCAAGCAGTTATGCGTCAGGTTTTGGAGCATAACGGCAACAACGATTTCAAGATTCCTCATATGAAGAAAGATACTTTGAGGCGTTGTGGATCACTCATTGCGAACTTCACGTGCCCTGTTTCGCTTCTTCTCCGGGCGAACTCGGTACTTCAGCAATCCAATCCTTGAGTTAATAGCTGTATAGCCAATGAAATTCATCCATGTGTTTTTCGAGCCAATCAGAATAAATGGTCATAGTGATATGGGAAATAATTGCCATGGTCATGGTATAGTGGGACAGAGGTAGTAAATATTGCTATTGTTCAAAATGTGCAATTCTTTCGGATGCGTGATGGAAGGTGACAATGCGTCCACGACCTCACCATGCAGTGCCGCTGCCCCCAT